TGATCTCGTCTGCTTAAAAAACACTGTGCTGGGATTATGGGTGCACACACACACACACACACTTAAAAATGCTGCACACACCTACCTAAGTGTCTCCTGGACTGATTGTTGAATAGGGCTAATTTATGCAAACACACTCACACATTCAGTCACACACACACTCCAGGGCGACTAATCTACTTTAACTGTTGTTAAATCCATAGAGATCCAATTACAAAGATAGAGGCATATTTGTTTTGCTCTGTGCATTCTAAAAGACTAATTAAATTTTCATGTAAAGATGGAAGGATTTGATACAACACAAACGTCTTTTCATTTTTCTAATTGTAATGCAATATGTTTTAATTGGGGACCTTGTGACTATTTCTGCTTACTTCAGCTGCTATTCTAGGTCTGCTGTTTTGCACAACAGGTAAATTAGTCACACGAGAAACAGAACAGTGACATACTCTACTTCCCTGACGTTCTGGTAATCTTTCGGCATTATTCCAAGTTGGGTTTGTGGGGCCAAGAGCAGCCTATATCCCAGCATGCACTGGGTAGAAGACTGTCAATCAAAGAGCTAAGGAAGTACATAGACCAAAAACAAAAAATTTTCAAATCTCTTGAGTTGTTGGATTTGCATGCTTTCCCTCAATAAAGCAGTCACACAGTTTAACTATACAAATATCAGATACACTGCACATTCAAATAGTTACAATAAGAAACAGTGTGAGTGGGTAAATAATAAAATGTAGAGAACTAATCACAATCACAGCAGGAAGTCAGTGAAAACCAAAATATATTTGTACATAAGAAAATACATCCATACACACATTCAACCCTCGACTGCATTTCTCTTAACCTTTTATAAAGACTACAGTCATGCTAGCAGCTCTGTGAAGCCGTACTCAGGTGGTTTGAGCTAAATGCTAATGGGTGCTTACACACATAGGTAAAAAAGATGACATGCTGACCGGGTAGTATACTGTATATTTACCACATTCACATCTTAGCTCAGCATGTTAGCATGCAAACATTTCCTTACATTTTGACCTAACAATGGCCAAGGGGTCATTAAAGTCATTAGTGGCCATGAATGTCTGTATAAAGTTTCATGCCAATCAACAATGCTGAGACATTTTGTTCTGGACCAAAGTGTGGACCGACAAAACAATGCTGAGACATTTTGTTCTGGACTAAAGTGTGGACTGACAAACAGACATTCAGACAGACAGACCGACATTCTGTAAGAGCATTATGCACACATGGCTAAAAACACTCTGTGTTCACCTTGCGTGTTTAAGAAACAGCTGGAAATATTGCATTTTAGCAGTGTCAAAGGCTTTTGTTCTAGGTTTGGTGCTCCGGTAGCCAGTGTTGGGTAATAAATAGTTACATGTCACTAGTTATTATAATTAAATTACAAATTAATGTAATTGTAATCAGTTACAGCTAGTGGGAAAAAATTACAGTTGTTGCTGATTACAAAGGGGTTAAGTCTGAATATATTGTTGCTTCACATCTTTACGCCATGCAGAACGCCTTCTTTTGGCATATTTCTGGACAATGTGGGTCAGCAAAGCTGTTGAGGATGGTTTACAAGGACCTGTCTCTACATCTCGATAGGTTCCATTCATTTGACAGCATGTGTTAAATTTTGAACACTGCTTTTGATTGGTTCTCATTTGACTTTGCACCACCTCTTGTCTATCAGTCAAATCAATGCACAATGCTCTAAGCAACCTGAGGCTGCCACACTTGGCTGTGACCGGCCAACAATGCCAGGGCTCGTATGGTTGTCAGACAAGAATGATTTTCAGTGCTGGAAATTGAACTGTATTTGGCCTCTGAGATCAGAAAGGGGCTTTGCTTGGTGCCAGTTCAGAAAGCTACATGTTTCAACAGTAATATATGACGTAACTGAAGTTACGTTGAAGAACTTTTAATAAGAGTTTAACAGTACTAAGTGTCAGGTACTGTTGTGAGGTTCAGACTGCCTGGTTTAAATTTATGTTAGGACTTTTCAGCTTTATTGCTGTTATGTGCCGTTCGCACCTGTCAGTGAGTAAACGAGAAAGAGGCGGACCCAGGTAGCCGACTTTGATGCAAGCAGTGATTTATTATGTACAGTGATGAGGAGAAATAACAAAATGCACAGAGGGAAATAGTGCGTAGTCCTGTCGATGAGTAGTAACCGGGTGTTGACCAACAGTAGGAGGTGAGGAGATGGAGAGCTGGGCCGAGCTGCGTAGGCTGGGTCACT